CACAGGGCAGGTGCTACCGTGTGAGGGGTGTGAGGAGGTCAAAGCACTTGCCCAAGGTCACACTGAGGAAGTGAGCTGGTTGTGGGATCAGGAGACAGGTCTTCTGATCCATGAGCTGGATTACTGATGTGATTGGTGTGCACAGCACCTTAATGCCCCCCATCCCTGGAACTGGTGTGTCCTGACCCAGGCTCGTCATAATGTCATCCAGGCCTGAGGAGTCTCCGTGGAGGCCGGCATTTCCAAAGTCCTGGTTCTGCGTGTGAGCCTGGTTGGGTCCACCCAGGGCTTCTGTGCAATAGACCTAGACTGTGTGAGTGACACCTGGAAGAAGGCACATTTCAGAGGCTGTATCTGTCTTCCCCCCAATTGTTTCTTAGTGGTTTATAAAATAACTTAATTCATGACTAGCAAACTGATATGTGCACATGAAAAACATAGAATGTATTAATTTAATCAAGTAAAACTTAGAGCAAAGTTAATATAACACATTTAATGGTATGATAGAATTACTGCCTTGCATGGTTATTAGGCATGGGTGGTAAACAATTTATACGAATGACTGTAATTAGTATTGCTATAGCAGAGCCACATCAATTTTTAAGTTTCTTTCATCTTGCTTTATTAGTTCTCCATATTTGTATAGTTGGAATCACTATCTAAAGTTTTCCTTGATACCATTTGCCATCGAGCATCTGAATTTTTTCAAACATGGGAAGATAATTCCAGGCACCAAGAGAAAGCCACCTTACTTTCCAAAAGTTCCTTCAAAGTTTACCTATTTCTGTCCCTGAGGTGTTCCTCTTCAACAGCGTGGGCATTTTTTCCTTACTTTCCCTCCAAGACTTTCTTTTAACTTTTAAGGGTTAGCTGAGAGCAAAAGTAACAGTCCCAAACATCTGTCATTCACCAAGATGAGATTTCTTACTCTTAGCCTAGATATTTGCTAGGCCAGTGATACAGAGCACATTCATAAAGATGGGCCACAGCTTGCAGAAGTCTTGCTCTGTCACTTTTGCTGAGCACACTTTGGGGCCATTATTGTGCAGTTGTTCAAAGTCAAGTTTCTGGTCTTGGGAGTAAAGCCAAGACCCTGGTGCTCTGTTACAAATGACCCTATCCATGGAGTCTCACACCATTTCCTTTGTCTGGGTCAGATTTGTGGTTTCTGTAGAACTGGAAGGACACCAGTCAAATGGCTGCTTGTTCATTGTTCACCTGTGCACGTGGTCAGAATGCTCCCCCAGCAGGTACAAGTGAGGCAGCGGCAGCGGTTGGGCTGCAGCCAACCCTCCAACAACAGGGCAGGTCTGCCCTGGGCTGGAGTCCCATGTGGACCTGGGAGGTAGGGGTTAGAATGATGGAGAGCTCATCATGTAAATACATTCCCATCCTTTATGTTTTGTTCGGAGATCTCCCCAGTACTGCCTAGACCTGAGAACCAGGGCTATTACCTCAATTATTGAAGTCTGCTGAATAAAGGGCAGGGTGGGTTTGCTATCATTTGCATTTAGAATGGAAGGGGCCAAAATTTGGGGAGGGGGGATTGTGCTGCATATTCAGAACAGGGCTTGAGAGCCACATCAGCCTGTCACGGAGGCTGGAGTTCCCCTAACAGAGAGTGTGGGTCAGAGAGAGGGACTTTCACTGTGTGATCAGAGAAAAGGTTTAAAAATGCAATTACCTGGAAATATGAATGCTTAGGTGTGGTAACTTCCAGTTTCAGTTCAAATGCTAACACCAGACCCCTCCTGTCTGAACTTGGAGGGGCACGGGAAGGAAGATCCATTATAGGGAGGGAGTGGGGCACAGAAAAGCGTCATCCCTGGGGGTGGCTACAAACCTTGTCCCCATAGCTGTGTTTGTCTTACTCTTTGTGTAGGAACAGAGTGCCCAGGTACTCTCTTCCTGTCCTGTGGGGCTCTTCAGAGTGGGGAGAGGATGCTCAGAGGGAGAGTGGGGAGGAGGACATCTCCTTGTCATTGCCATCCCCTAACCAGCCTCACCCCCGTCACACCGTCTGCCTGTGGCCCTGTGCCTGGGGTGGCACAGGCACAGAGACAGGTGTGGCCCTTTCCCTTGTGGGGGTGTGGTAGCTGTCATGGTCATCATCATGGAATCTCTTGAGAATCTTATAAGAAACACAGATCTTGCTTTGGATTTGGCATCTGAAAGAAAAAAATTTAAAA